TTTTTTCATTATTTTTGACTCTTCATCACCCAGACACATTGCTCTTTTACGAATATTTGTCACTGAATAAAAAGAATATTAGATCGTTTGATTCGTCATATAATCAGAATCGACTTGTTAATAATGTTTATAACCATATTTTTTTTTGTATTTTTCTTTCCTAACTAATATGACACAAATTTAAATAATTCAAAAAAAATAAAGAATGTCCGACAAAGGTTTCTCAACTGTGCTTATTGTTCTATCGTCACACTAATTAAGATTAAATAGAGTAAAACATTTTTTCCATAGGGAAGAAACTTTGTAAAAATAGAGTAGAACTTCGTTGTTCTTTTATTAGAAAAAATATCGCTGCAATAAATACGGATTCTATGAAGAACAGATGGTTATCATATATTGTAAATATGATTGTGAAAGAACACATATGAACGATTGTACGGATTCTTCTGACTGATCATGAATAAAGGTTTTTTGCAAATATAAAAAAAAACTTTGCTGTCAACCAATCTGAGGATTTGTTTGTCATTTACTGAATTTCACGACTTTGCTATTCCTTTTTTACTTGTTCATTTTTTTCTATTCTCTAAAGCCTCTGTCAATTTTTATTCCTTTAACTTGGTATTGCCAGAGAAAGTTGCTAAAGAATCAATACCACTTAAGTGACATACAACAATCAGCATGTCGACTGGAAGCAGAAAAGTAATGATACTATGTCTCTTGGTTATAATGACAATGATGAGAACTTCTTCTGGAGAAACCTGTATATGCTAGTGCTGCACACCTTATGGCTTCTCTACCCCATTATACATTGGCACGTTTACTGTTTCTTCATGCAGTAGTGTTACAACATGTGCAAATGCGTGTACGAGCAACTATGCCGTTTGTCAAACGGGATATACAAGTGGTATTTAAGGTGCTACTTCTCTGAAGTATCTCTCACCGCTTGTAATATTAATTATTGCTATATTCTGCCTAATTTGGACAAGGGGAGGAATACGCAAGCTGTTCGCACTGCTGGACATACATGAAACATTTTTTTTTTACCGATTCTTAGTTTAGAAATTGAACGAAACTTTAATATAATATCTGATTCCTCACTTAATTCTAACTTTACTTGTGTGAATTTAAATAACACTAATAAATTTTCTAGTAAACTCTATCTAAGGGTGTGGGTGTGTGGAAGAATAGAAAATCCATAACCACACCCACACCCACACCCGCAGAAAACAAATCTACCAAATAAAATAAACAAAAAATTGTAAAACTTAAAATTCAGTCTGTTGATATAGAACTTTGATATAGTGTAATACTAAAAAGATTCTCGTAATCTGATTTTTAGCCATTGATGGTGCTCATTTTGCGTTAGTGTGTATGTCGAAGTTTGAACTAAAAATAAAAGAAAGTGTAGATCGGAAAATGTTGTCGAATTTTCTGCTAAGAGCTTAGCTTTATTTTCATTTCAGATGTGAAAATTTTGGCTTTCCCTAGACCCTGTTAGCTGAGATGTTAGCCTAGTAAAGAGCCGAGAACTAGTAAAACTAGTTTTTTTCGTTTGTTCAATTTCTTCCATAGACCTTAGTATGTCAAACGCAATTCAATTTCAATATAATTCTATATATTATTATTGACATAGACGCTTATTTGTTATTCCGAAGATTGAGTTTTGTGTTGCATTGAATAAGAAGCAAAAAGGAAGCATTTCTTTCAATTTAATTATTTTTTCTTTTTGCTTTATACAACAAATAAAGCGAGGTTGAAATAATCGGCAACAAATTATCTGTGCAGTGAATTTCTGATTGATTTTCAAAGCATGTCATCACGGTACACTAATGTTCAAGGTCGTTTGACATCATTGAGTTTAATCACAATATTTGCATTGAGAAATAAAATAGTTGCATGTCTCAATTGAAAGAAAGTTTCATTGTTTCTATCCTACTATTGAAAACTATTTGTGAATATCTATTCTCGATTTTAGTTTTAAATCGAAAAAAACCATAGACTGATTTGACTCCTTACTATTCAAATATGCTACCATATGATTTCAATTATCACTTACAGGTCTCCTATAGCAAGTCACACAGGATTAAAAAAGCAGTGATTTGAGGTGGTGAGTAATATTTTCAATTCACTCTCGCTCGCGCAGCAATTTTATGTATATGAAATTCATGAGTTTGTATTAGATGCGAAAATTAAACATATCTTAATTCAATTTTTTTTCGTTAGAAAATTGATTTGATGAAATCTGAGTGCCTCATATCTATATGTAAGAAGCCTTTGCATAGTCGAGGACAATTGAAATTATACCCTTTGATTTTTTTTTGTTTTTTATTACTATACGTTTTTATCTATTAACTTACTATATATATGGAGAAGTGTCAGAGCTTGCTGCATCTTTTGGTATATTTACTTTGAACATCAAATGCAGTTTAAAATGTAAAAAGTGTATTGGAAGAAAGAGGACATTTTTTTTTCTTTTGCAAAACTGGATGTTCTTAAGCTTGTAGTATTTTTTTTATATTTTGCACATATCTCGGTTTAGATAAATGATAAAACCTTGAATTTTTTTTTCAAAAAATGATCCGTGAAAAGCTCTATGAAGGGTGTATGATTGAATGCCTTTTACCTGTTCTAATAATTTTTCTTATACTCAAAATGAACAACTTTTACAGCAGTGTCACTTCTCATCATATAGAAAATATTTCGAGAACTTTCTCGAGTCGCTATAGGATTTGGTCTATACAAGTTTTGTAGAGCTTTCGACGGGGCATCTTTTAAAAGCAAATTCAATATTCCATCATTTTCTCAAGTCGAAATATATGCAGAACAAAAAAGTCTTCCAACATTTTCAGTATGATGCAAAGTGACACTGCTATAAAAGTTATTCATTTTGAGTAGAACAAAAATTATTAGAACAGGTAATAAGAATTCAATCATACAACCTTCATAGAGCTTTTTACGAAGCATTTTTTGAAAAAAAATTCAAGGTTTTATCATTTATTTAAGCCGAGATATGTGCAAAATAATAAAAAAATACTACAACCTTAAGGACATCCAATTTGCAAAAGAAAAAAAATGTCCTTTTTCTTCCAATACACTTTTTATATTTTAAACTGCATTTGATGTTCAAAGTAAATATACCAAAAGATGCAGCAAGTTCTGATCTTTCTCCCTATATATAGTGAGTTTACAGATAAAAACGTATAGTAATAAAAAAAACCAAAAAAATCAAAGGGTATATTTTCAATTGTCCTGGACTGTATAACATCCATCTCCTCATTCTAAAGAAACCTAGAACATGTATACTTATATACTAAATCTTTTTCTCCTGTCTGCAATATATAATACAATGATACATCAGTGAAGTGAAACACAAGCGCTCATTTTCTTGTCGAACACAATCACACACTAGAATTAAGATCTACTCGATAAACATAGCAAAACACAGAGTAATCATTCTTATCCAGTATTGTTAATTATATTTGTAGATCCGCACAATATTCTGTGTTATCCTCCACTATCGGTACCATTTGTCGGTAAACTTTCTCATCAAGTGCGTAATTCATCATTACAATTTCTATCTCTATTCTTACAAGTCATTCAATCTAGTATCATCATTCATTGACAAAAGATATGCCATCTCGTTCTGCTATCCATATAACCACCCGATCACCCAAAAATAATATCCATCCGACAAAAAATCAGTCTGCCAATCCTCAAGACATTTTGTTCCCGGTTATTATATTCTTAAAATCTTTGATTATTCATATTTTCTCTTTGTGTAAATAGATGTCAACTATTTTGGCTGCGCGATATTATCAAGGTAAATCCCAGCCTACTGCGATGCAAGAGGAGGGGAAAGTAAGGGGACAGAGAAAATTTATGAAAGATGAACCCACCCTCCGTCAGAATGTCCTTGAAACAGTCCAGAACAAATCTATCAAAGAAATTGTCAGTCAAAATTTTAGTAATCAAATAAACAATCGAACACATGCCGACAATGACACCAAAATGACTCCATATTCTCAGTCATCAACACAGGTGAGATATCAAAATGAGGAGCATATTCATTACTAGATTCTATACATCTAAGTATTTATTATTGAAGATCTGCAAATTGTTTAGTTTTTGTTCTATGAACAAGTTCTTATTTGAAGTATATACATCTTTATCGAGTTTTACAAACAGTCAAAAGTTCTAGTTTCATATAAAATTCGATAGAGAGAGAGAGAGTGTTCAACAATTTTTAAGCCTAATAAGTATATTTGTGTACAACTAGTATGTTTGATCACATACTCTGTTAGGTAAACTCTTAATAAAATGGCTCTCCAACCTGAGAGAATGACCATTGTAATAGAAATCTAATGTTTCTCTGTAAGTGAACGATTTTTATGTATGCTTTCTACACTTTTTCTCTCTTTGATCAATGGGTAACGTATGTTGAAACTATACAATAGCTAATTGTAAGAAATAGAATTTATCTCTAAAAAATTTATTGAAAAAAGATAGAACGACAACAGAACTAGAGAACTTTAGGGCCTTATTGCGCAAAAACTGTATTTTGACGTGTTTTCAACGAAAAATGTTTTCATTTGAGCATTGTTTGCATAAAACAAACTGGAAATGTATTCGCTTACATAGCATCAACGTCGAAAAAAAAGTGTTTCAAAATGGAAGTACTGAATAAAGGTTGGAAACGCAAGAAAATACTATCATGTTATATGTATTCCAATAGCCTTTTTCTTAGTTAGTTTCCATATTGTAATTCAACTTTTCCTGGTTCTGTCAAAGATACCTCCCGCAGAAAACAGGTTAGAAATTGATCGAAAGTCAGATGATAGATTGAAGGAATCTCGAGAATATATTTTAGAAAGATAACAAATGGTCAACAAGTATTTATTGGTTAAAACTAAAGTGGCTTAGTTCTGGTGGTCTTTCCATTTTTGTTAGTTAAATATAAAAATATTTTTGCCCCAAGGGATCATATTTCTATTTGAGTTATTATTACAAGTAGTTTTATTTTGATTCGATGATAGAAGTGAAACCAAAATGAAACTATTTATCCTTTTTCTTTTGTCTATATTCATCTTTTACATTAATTCAGGCAACCGGCTTATGGTCAGATGGAGTGGATTTTCAGAATACCCATCACCGAAAGTCGAACAGAAATAAAAAGAAACGGTAAATAATTATTTTGCATCTTTTCTTATTAACTTTTAAAAATATTTCATTTAGCTATTTTAAACACATTCGTTGCCAATATTCACCTATCTGTTTATTTCTGTCTCTACTTGTTCTTCTACTTTTTGGCGCGGGCATTGGTGCAATGCTTGTCGCCTTGATCGGCATCCCTAAAACAACAATCACAACAATAACAGTGACGACAACAACAGCAACAACAACTACAGCAACGACAGCGACAACAACATCAACAACAACAACAACAGCATCAACGACATCAACAACAACAACATCAACGACATCAACAACAACAACATCAACGACATCAACAACAACAACATCAACGACATCAACAACAACAACATCAACGACATCATCAACAATAACATCAACGACATCATCAACAACAACAAGTAAGGCAACATTTGCGTTTTTGTTCGCGTATGTCCATGAATATTCATACAACTGGATTCGTAAAAGAAGTTCTAGTGATCAATGTGAGATATATCTATAACTGAGATAAGTCCAAGAGGAAAGCAACGATTTTGGCGGCTCAAATTTGATTTTTTGTAGATTTAAATCATCCGCTTCGTCCTTGGAAGATTGATGAACAACTCTTCAGAACCTGAAGCTGATATTCAGCCAAGACGTTCGACAGTTTGATTAGAGAAGAAGCTGTCGATTTTCTTCTCCTCATTTCTTTCTTCATTAATTTCTTCATTTTTGCCCAGTTTTTATGAGGCAGTTGATTGGTCACTATAGATTTGAAAAGAGACAGAATAGGGAACTTATTGTTTTTTGACTATGAAAAGAACGAATGAATCATTGAGTGTTTATTTGAATGGGCTCAAATATAATACCGTTATTGCCTGATTCAGGTAACGAATGAACGAACGAGTGATTATAGGTGGAAAGAAGAACGATTGTTTTAGCGCTAATGTCATTTGATTACGCCATTATCGAAGTACCTCATTGAAGTACCCACTATTGAGTGAAGTACATCATCAATCATCTCTTACGTAAATGTACATATCATCCAACTAACGTTCTTTTCAACAGCTTTCTGATTATGATTTATCTAGAGCATGTTATCAATTATCCTACTAATTCTGCCCAAGGAAAATCTTGTGAATTCGGCCGATTAAGGGTTCAGCTTCTTTGCTGATCTGATCGAATCCAAGATAAGAGTCAATTTAGTTCCAATGATAAAAGATTGAAAGCAGTATCGCGAAACCAGAGGAAGATTAGACGATGATAAGAATTTATCAGTCGAAAAGAGAACTACTGCGAATTAGTCAGGATTGTAGAGTGGTAGTTTTCTCATGAGAACTGTATAGACTATAAAAAAAAGTATTTAGCTTCGTGAGAGACAAAAGAAAATTTTTCAAAATTATGAGCATTATTCTGTTTGCTCACGTTGTCTCTGTAAGAGCTGGGGTAACCGTTTTGAAAGTAAAAAATACTCAGATGAGGCAATTGTTTTTCATAATCACATGGATGATAATAACGATGTTTATTTCCTAATAGCTCCATGCAATAGATTTCCGACACAAGTGATTTATTCAATTGGCACTAACCCGGCATCTGTGGCAGCAGTCGATGTCAATGGAGACAGCAAACCCGATATTATTGTCGCAAACTACGGTCCAGACAACGTCGGTGTTCTCCTCAACAATGGCAATGGCACGTTTGCTGCTCAGGTGACCTATTCAACTGGCACCGATCCATGGTTTGTGATAGTAGTCGATGTCAATGGAGACAGCAAACTCGATATTATTGTCGCAAACTACGTTTCAAACAACGTCGGTGTTCTCCTTAACAATGGCAATGGCACATTTACTGCTCAAGTGACTTATTCAACCGGTACTAACCCGGTGTCGGTGGCATCAGCCGATGTCAACGGAGACAGCAAACTCGATATTATTGTCGCAAATCACGGTTCACACAACGTTGGTGTTCTCCTCAATAATGGGAACGGGACGTTTGCTGCTCAAGTGACCTATTCAACTGGCACTAACCCGGTGCGGGTGGCAGCAGCCGATGTCAACGGAGACAGCAAACCCGATATTGTCGTCGCAAACGACGGTCCAGATAACGTCGGTGTTCTCCTCAACAATGGCAATGGTACGTTTGCTACTCAAGTGACCTATTCAACTGGCATTAACCCGTATTCGGTGGCAGCAGTCGATGTCAATGGAGACAACAAACCCGATATTATCGTCGCAAACGATGGTCCAGATAACGTCGGTGTTCTCCTCAACAATGGCAATGGAACGTTTGCTGCTCAAGTGACCTATTCAACTGACACTGATCCATATTCGGTGGCAGCAGCTGATATCAATGGAGACATTAAACTCGATATTATTGTCGCAAATTACGGTTCCAACAACGTCGGTGTTCTCCTCAACAATGGCAATGGCACGTTTGGTGCTCAAGTGGCTTATTCAACTGGCTCTAACCCGCATTCGGTGGCAGCAGTCGATGTCAATGGAGACAACAAACTTGATATTATTGTCGCAAATTACGGTTCAAATAATGTTGGCGTTTTGTTAGCTGTTTGCAACTAACACGCCAATTGAACTCTACTTATCGAGTAATATTGATGTAGTGTTTAGAATTTTACTAAAACCTGTTAATGTCCTTGTCAGTGATCGCATCCTTCTCGCTTCCTTTCTCTTATTACACTTGCTTTTGAAAGTATGTTATCTGCAATAACATTCTTTTTCTTTTTTCTCTCGGCTTCCATATGCCATTAATACATGTGTGTTTTGGTTCTGTTAGAATCAGCTCTGTTTTTATTATTAGTGTAGTGATTCTTTTCAAGTAGTTCTTTGTTTCATCGTGTAGTTTTTTATTTCTATTCAAATACATTTAATATTGTGCAGTTTCTTTTAACCTCTGCAGGGGAGGTACAGGTCATTTCAAAGAGAAAGCTCACATTTTTAGTGCTGTGACTCGGGACGTCACTGTCTGCAAATCCTTAGGTGTGCGTGGATCTGGGTGTAGGTGTAGATGTGAGTTAAATAAACAACTATACCCACACCCACACCCCCATTACAGGCAGGTCTCCATTACAGACACTCCCCATTACAGACCTTAGCAATTAAGAATAACAGGCGTCAGACTTTCTAGTTTGTTTGAAAAATTGATCAAGTCATAATTTTGATAGATAATTAACATCATTGTTTGTGAGCTGATTAATATATATAATAGTGCGTAAGATCTTCTGTAGGTATCATGGATATATAAAACAGATCTATTTGCCAATTAATTCAATGATTATAATAATAAGAATGTTGAGTTACGAAAAACAATTTAAAATAAAAAAGAAATGAAAAATAATAAGCGAATAGCAAGAATGCAAAAGAAAAGCAGAGCGCTCTCAAACGAGAAAAAATTTCTATTTTAAATGTAGACATAAATAACAAAGTCTCGCTCTTATCATTGATTATCAATGCAAACGACTGCAGTGTACACAAAATTTTTCAGTTTACATATGATACATTAGAATATTAACACATTCAACCCGATGATACCCATCGGTGGGTCTCACTATATTGTACAGTGATTAGTCGGCTGTGATAACAAAAGATTCTCAGAAAATTTTTTCGTCTGTCAGATTTTGTAGAGCTCTCTTTGTCGATCATTTTGATAGAAAGTTTTTTTTAATTTAATAAATAAATGACGGTGCTAGAGTAGAAATACTGAAAAAAATGAGACAGCTCTGTGTGCTAGAGCTATGATTTTTTTTCAGTATTTTGACTCTAGCACTGTCATTCATTTATCAAATTTAAGAAACCTTTTTTATTAAAATGATCGGCAAAGAGAGCTCTATAAAGTCCGACAGACGAAACATTTTCTGAAATCTATTTGTTTTTCATGGTTGACTACCCATGAAAATACTCAATTGTATGTCTGAAAACTTTGGAACTTTTGGTAATTCTTTAGCACATAGTCATTCTATGAATTGCTAGTTATACTACTAAATCCCGTTTTCGACGAGGTTTCGTTTGACATAAATGTCAATGTTGATATCATTTGTATTTGGAGTTGTACCCTCTGGGAAAATATTATTTGCTACCTCGTAGAATCAAATCGGGTTCAATGTGTTAAGGTTTAAGGATATATGTGAGTGTCACATTTCAGCTCCAAAGGAGCTGCGCTAACAACCTTTTTTTAATACAGTTGACTTCTGTAAAAACAACGGCTGTCAGCACAATCCCTGCAAGATTAAAATATAAAACACGATGTAATTGCTGTTGGTAATCATAGGGACATTGTTTTCTTTCTGTATATCTATATATTTATAGTGGGGCGCATTTTTTAATCCTCCTCTTCCTTAGCCCTCGAGGAATGCAGAGTAAGGAAGTAGTTAATATATCGCAATAAGACGTTATTAATATATGGTATGCGATCATATGTCAACGACGCATGCCATAGGCGGCAATAGATTCCTAGAATAATAGGGTGTGGGTGCGGATGTAAATATGAATCTTCTTTTGCATAACATCTACACTCACACAGACACCCCACGCCCCAATCATACCTGCACCCGCACCCTTAATAAGAATTCTTTTACGTACTGTTGAAGAGCAAGTGTCGCGGAGGCATCTGCTAGGAGAGCGACACACGTGTTAGCAATGTTGGCAAATTCAAAATAGAAAATTTATTCTCGTACATGTAAGCAAATGTTGCGCAATTCCTATGAATCATGGAATGACAGAGTCAAATATTTTTTCACTTCCTTGTTGGAAAAAAGGAAGTGCACTCTTCAGCGAAACACAAGCAGTAATTGCTTTTCTGCATTCGAAGGTGTGCGTGTGGGTGTCAGTGGGTGTGGATGTTGGTGTTGATGTGGAGCGTGAATGTTGGTAGAGGTATGAGTGTTGGTGCGGAAGTCAGTATGG